AACCCACAGTGCCCTACATCCAACCAGCTCTCCGGGCCAGACAAGTGCCTCCAGCCCCTCGCCACTCCCCATTCCACATACACACTCCTACCAAATCCACCACACGTTAAGTCAGGCTACAGCTCAGATGCTCACCCTGCACAGGTGTCCTGGATCCCCTTGGGACCCCTAGTTGACCTCCTTTGGCAATAATCTGGAACATAAAGTTTCCCCCAGGTGTACTGGGGTAGGTGTGGCCCCAGCTCCTATAGCACTGTTATACATCAGTTGAAGTCAGTTGGGGCCACAGGGTCACTGAGGGCAGTGGAAGGCCAGAGAGGAGGAGGGGCAGGCAGGTGGGGTCCCAGGGATGCCCTCTGGATGTGCATGAGTGGGTAGAGCAGGCTGGGTCCAAGCCAAGCCTCCCACTCCCCTTCACACTCTCTCCTTGCTAATACTCCAGCATCCTCCCAATAAATTCCAAACACGAACCCCATCTAACATGGCCTCTCTGGCTCCCCCTCATTTACCTGACACTCAATGGGAACTTATGCGTGTCATCAGCACTACCCTAGGTTTCTTACGAAAATTAACTCACTTAATCCTTATAAATATCCTACAAGGTAAGTACTGGGATTATCCCCACTCTACAGATAAGGAAAATGAGGCACCGAGTAACAACAGAGCTAGTACTTGGTAGTGTCAGGATTTGAATCTAGGCCATGCAGCTCCAGAGTCTGTGCTCTAACTGCTCTGTTGTGCAACTCACTTCTCCCTCCCTCTGTCATTTCTGTTGCCTTAAATGCACCTAACTTCTCACCCCCCACCCGCCCATTCTCACTTTCATGCCTTTGCGCTCAGTGTTCCCTCTGCCTAGAAGACGCTTCCCTCCTTATCTTGACAAGTTCTGCTTCTTAGATACCCAAGCATCACCCTCCCTATGAAGCTGCCCTTGGCCCAGCTTGCCCTCCTCCAGCTGAATCAGGCAGCCTCCTCTGTTCACAAAGTACTTGGTACACATTTCCATGCAGACAGCTCTGGGACTGGAGGCCCCTCAATGATGAGGGCAGGTTCTCATCTGATTGTCCCACCCCTAGATACCCAATGTTTGGTATAGGACTTGGTCCAACTCAGGAAACGTTGGTGAATGAGGGACTGGGGCAGAGAGAAATCAGACTCCACCCCTTGCCCTCCAAAAGCTCATAATCTGGTGGGAAAATTGACCCATCAACAGCAGCCCAGATCCAAAGGCATTAGAGTTCCAAGGAGGCACAAAGGGCCTTCAGTGCCACAGGCTCCAAAGGAAGAGGCTGTGCTTGCAACTGGGAGAAGTGGGCAGGGTTCTCAGAGGCATCAGCTTGTGAGAAGGGCCTTGAAGGATGGAGAAAATCCTCACTAGGCAAGCAGGACACATGCAGGAAGGAGAGACAGGGAAAGGACTCCAGGCTGGCAGGGATGGAGACAGAGGAGTAGGAAGGCACGAAGCATTTTAAGGGCTCAATGAGCTCAATAGAGCCCAACCACCCCACCAGACAGGGAGCTGCAGGAGGGCAGAGCGTCCCTGCCATTGCCTCACACAGGACCTGCATATATGGATGCAGTGTAAGGATTTGCTGGAAGCAGATCTCCAGGGGTGTGGAGCCTCATACAATTCTATCTAAGAAAAACTGAAAAATTACTAATATAAATGTAGGTGTGAAAGTGAATGTCTGGGCCGGGCACGGTGGCTCAAGCCTGTAATCCCAGCACTTTGGGAGGCCGAGACGGGCGGATCACGGGGTCAGGAGATCGAGACCATCCTGGCTAACACAGTGAAACCCCGTCTCTACTAAAAAATACAAAAAACTAGCCGGGCGAGGTGGCGGGCGCCTGTAGTACCAGCTACTCGGGAGGCTGAGGCAGGAGAATGGCGTAGACCCGGGAGGCGGAGCTTGCAGTGAGCTGAGATCCGGCCACTGCACTCCAGCCTGGGCGACAGAGCGAGACTCCGTCTCCAAAAAAAAAAAAAAAAAAGAAAGTGAATGTCTGTCTGCCATAAGAATGGGAGGAGCTGTGTTTAACAGCCCTGGGGCCTGAAGCTGAAGCTGCTGCCTCTGTGTAAGGAAGGTAGAAGGTTCTTGGAAACAGTAGGGCATCAGGCAGAAAAGACTAATGTTTCCGTGCAGCCTTGCCCTCCACCACCGCCCAGACCAGCCACCATGACCACCTCTGTCGTGCTTCGTGGAACTCATTTGCCACCAAAAGGCCAGATTCCCCAGCTCACAAGACTCCTTTCCCTTTGGAAGAGTGGCCAGACGGCAAATGTGGGTGTCTGAGACCTGTTTGCTGGTCACCTCCTGATGACCTTGGGCATGTCTCCCCCCACACACCCCCAGCGCCTCAGAGGTCATGGAGGTCTATTCTGAAAAGCTCCTTTTCATTCTGACATCCTGCTCATCTGACCTGGCTGAGGAGGCTCTCGCAGCAGGGGCAGCCAGAGAACTCTCTGAGAGCCTCATTCATCTCCCAGCGCTGAGATCTCACACGGGCGGGCCATGTACCAGGCTGGGTGGTGGTGGGTGGGAGGGAAATCAGACATGGATCAATCATTACAGAACCTTCAAGCTGAGGGAGCCCAGACCAAAGGCAGGCAGCCTGGGGGAGTTCAGGAAGGCTTCTCGGAGGTGGTGATAAATCTTGGAGTAGGTGCCAAGTAAATAATTGTTGAATAAATGACCCATCTCATGTCCCACCTCTCATGAGAGATGGGGCATTTATTCAACAATTATTTATTTGGCACCTACTATGTGCCAGGCTCCATGTTAGGCTCTAGGGATACAGCAGTGAAGAGAACAGGTGGGCATTTGGCCACCTTCAGCCCAGCAGAGAAATGGGAATTAACTCCAGAGAGAAGGGGAACAGCAGGGCAACACATGGAGGAGACAACTGCATGGAGACAGGAAGCATTCTGCTTGCTAATGGAGCTGAGAGAAGTTGGCACAAGCAGAGAGGGAAGTAAGCAATGGGGAGATGAGGTTGGTGGGGTCAGCAGGCAGACAGCAATAACAAAGGGGCTGGAATGCCAGGCTAGGGATGTAGGGCTTGGTCATGCTGGCAATCGGGAGCCAGAGAAGGCTCTGGATAGAGGGAAGAGCCACAAGGTTTCTTAGCGTCAAGTTCAACAGATAAAGGCAAAACTGCCTTCTCCCAGCCCTCAGGCTGGAGAGACCAGTCCCAGCTTCCTGGAGCCAACTTGCCTACTCCCAATCCCTGGGCCTGGAGAAGAGAGGGCACCCTCAAGTCCGCAGCCTAAACTTCAGCCTCCAGCTCACCCTCTTCCTTGTTCTTCCAACCAGTCTCTCAGCCATAGTTTGATGCCATTTCTTTTGCAGGGAATGCCCATGCTTCACCCACTGAAGCCTGCTGCCTGCCCAGTGCCTCACCTGGTTCCCTGCCAGGTAGCACCTTTATTCTTCTTTTATAGATGAGGAAACAGAGGCTCAGAGAGGGAGAGTAATCTGTTAAAGTCACAGAGCTTTACCCTAGAATTTGATAGTGATGGGTGGATACAACTCTGTGCCAGCTGTGTGGTCTTGGGAACGTCACTTAGCCTCTCTGTGCTGAGTCCTCATCTGTGAAATGGAGTACCTATCACAACATAAGGTTGGTGTGAGGCTTACAAAGAGGCTGTCCTGTGCCACCAACATCCCTTAGCTCCCCAGGGCAGTTAGCTGCTTTCACTTGGCCCCTACCCCACTCCCCCGGGGCACACATTCAACTTTCATTCATACATCAATTCCCTCCAACGCCTTCTCTGCGCCTGTCCCTGTGCAGACACACTGAAGACCGCTCCGTGGCCAAGCACCAGGCTCACACCTGTAATCTCAGCACTTTGGGAGTCCGAGGCAGGAGGATCGCTGGAACACAGGAGATGGAGACCAGCCTAGAAAACACTGTGAGACTCTGTCTCTACAAAAAAATTTAAAAATTAGCCGGATGTGGTGGTGCACGCCTGTAGTCACAGCTATCCCGGAGGCACAGGGTGGGAGGATCTCCTGAGCCCGGAAGTTCGAGGCTGCAGTGAGCCGTGATAGTGCCACTGCACTCCACCCTGGGCCACAGAGCGGGACCCTGTCTCAAAATAACATAACATAACATAACATAACATAACATAACATAACATAACATAACATAAAATGAAAGATGGCTCTTGCACCCAATGTGCAGGGTGGGATGGGGCGGGAGCAGACTGCAGATGCATCACGATTCGAAGTGTGTGTCCTCACACAACTCTCCTCTTGAGTTCGTATTTTTAAAAATTGACCACGACGCTCTCCTCCTCGGGGATGGGCGCAGGGAAGGGAGGCTTGTGGAAGACAAATTCGTTCCTTATTTCCAAAAACTTGTTTTTCACCATTTCGTGAAATCTGAACACTTCCCAGACCAACTCTCACCTCTGAGTGCCGAGCACTAGAAGCTGGGCAGGAGCAAGCTGTCGGCGGCATCCCACCACCCAGGAGGGTTCGCTCCAGCGTCCCTGGGATCCCTGACCCCGGATATCCCCCCACGCCTCCACCTTGCCTCGTCCCGGCTTCTTTTCCTACCCTGGCCCCTGCTGCTTCCCCGTGAACCCCGCAATCCCCGCACAGCAGTCCCCATGCCCCTGTCCCAAACAAGCCAGCCCTCTCGCCTCTCCCTCCATCCGGGTCCCGAGACCAACCCCCTCCCCGACTCGGCCCTTTCTGAACTCCCAGCCCCGCCATTGTCCTTTTGTAGCCGCACCTCTTCATTGTCCGCCCCGCCCTCTCCGAGGTAGAGTCCGCGTTCCGCAGGGCGCCGCTCCGCTCCCACCCTCGGATTGGCTCCTGCGGCCCCATGCGCGGGGCCCGGGAAGGGGAGCCGACGCGCGCCCCGCCCCTGCCCGCTGCCGGCCGGGGGCGGGGTCCCTGCTGCCTCCGCCCCGTCCGGGCGGGGCCGCGCTGGCTGGCGCTCCGGCGCTGGGCGGCGCTGCCTCGGCTGAGATCGGGCTGCGGCTCCGGTGGGGGTGGGCGGCGGGGATGACAGCGGAGGTGGCAGCGGCGCGGCGCTGAGCGAGCGGTGAGCGAGCGGGGGAAGAGGAGGAAGTGGAGCCGCAGCCGGGAGCTCGGGAGTCGGCTGCCGCGCCGAGGTCCGCCCCGTTTTACAGAGCGAGCTGAGTCGGGACCTGGAAAGACTTCCCCGCGGGGCTCCGGCCGCCGCACCTCCCCGCCGGCGCCTGCACTGCCCTGCCCTGCCCTGCGCGTCCCAGCCCCGCGGTCCGGGGCGTGCGGCCGGGACGCGCGGAGTCCCGGCCCTGACCCGCTGCGCCGGGGCGGCACGCTCCTAACCCAGCAGTACGGGTCCGTGGTTGCAGGGTAGCTCCGCGCCTTTCCATCAGTGAGGGTCGGAGCCCCTACTCCGGAGCTAGCGCATTGTGGCCCCAGGCTCTCGACTCCGGTGCACGGGACCCCGGACGCCCCCAGCCTCTGGCTCCACGAGACCCCAACCTTCAGTTGCCTCCACCCGAGTGCTTCGGACTTGGAACAGCGCGAGTGCCCAGGAAGCTCCGGCCGGGTCGTGCGCTCCGTGAGGGGTCCTAGGCAGGCAGGACAGTCGGACCGAACGGCCAGGCTGGTGCCACGAACCCAGGCTGCCACCTTCCTCCCGCCTCAGGCGAGGGGCTCAGTGCCTGCCCCGAAGATAACACAGGGGTCCCCTTCTGTCCCGTCGGCCCGCGAGAGCCAAGGCTGCAGGTGAGAGCCCCGGATGCGGGGCAGAAGCGGTCCCCGACCCCATCGCAGCAGCGCGGGGGCCAGCGGAGGGAGTCTCGGGGGGAACAAGCAGAGGCTGGAACTGGCTGGGAGGGGGCGCGGGAAGGGGAGGGGAAAGAAAGAAAACGGGCTCTTATTGAGCGCCCATTGTGTGCGGGTCCGCGCCCCGCCACGCCCCGCGCCTAAGGCTCACTGCTACTCCTGAAATAGGTGTTGTGTATTATTATCGGCGCTTGCAGATGGAGAAACTGAGGCTTAACGGGGCTGAGTGATCTTTCACTGCGGGGAGGAGACTGGGGAAGCGGGAGAGGATAGAAGGGGAAGAAGCAGAGCACCTGAGCGCTGATCCTAAAGCTGAGGAAGTGGCTTTTTTTTTCTTGCCTCCCGCTCCCTGGCCATGTCACCCCCCAGGAAAGGTGACTCAGAGTTGAGGGCAGAGGTGAGAAGCTTCCTAGTTCCAAAGCTTCTCTCCCTGTGGGCCCAGGATGTGAGAGCAGCAGCTCCTGGCCGTTGTGTGTCAGACTCCAGGGTCTCTTAGACACTCTGGAGATCCTGAGATGTGCTTATCTGTTGGTGAATTCACTGCAGAGATCCCCAAATAAGGGTCCATCAGAGCTGGAGATGTGACCCCTCTGGGGTGGCTGGAGACGTGGCTCACGTGGCTCACCTCCCTCACATTACTAATGGGGCCACTGAGGCCCACCCGAAGGGAGTGTCAGTTATCCGGTCCTAAAGACAATGAATCCTTGATCCAGAAGTAGACTTGAGAAAACCTTCGTGAGCATCCTTCAAAGTATCCACACTCCTCCCCAGTTAGGATCTTCCGGATAGGTGGCTGGGGCTTTCCCTATCCCTGATGTGAGATCTGGGCGACCATGTATGAGGCTGTGGTGGGAATCAGTGTGGTTGGTGCAGGGGCCCCGAGGAGTGCCCGCAACCCCATAGCCTTTGGCCCAAATGGAAGGTCCAACCTAATTCTCTTCTGGGCAGGGGAACCTGCAGGACACCTCTGCCCAGGAAGGAAGGGACCTGCTCAAGGTCTCAAGGCTGGGGGCTCCCAGGGCTGGGGCACAGTCCCAGGTGTCTTGATTCCCAGGCAGGGGATGCTTCTGCTGCCCCCGAGGCAGGTAGGGAGAGGGGCGTTGTGAAAGAGCCCTTGCCCTGACTCTGTGGGCTCTTGTTCTGTGTGGGGAAGGGGAGGGGATCTGGCCCTGGTCTGGGCCCTGTGGCCTTGGCTAGGACTGGTTAACCCTAGATGTGCTCAACTCCCTGGAGTCAAGGGGAAACCTCCTTGGAAAGCCCCTGGAAGGTGGAGGAGGGTGGTGAGAGGTCAGTGGAAGTCTGAAGCTCAATCCCTGGGGGTGGAAGGGTTAGAGGAACCCAAAAGAAAAGGTGACTGAGGGGCTTGGGATTCCCTCTACCCCCTACCTCCATCCAGGGATTCAAATCCTCCCTCACAATAATCTCTACATCTAAACAAAGCTCTTAGAGGAAATAATTTCACACCTGTGATCTCCTTTCATGATGTGGAGAGAGCCTGGAACCTGGAGTGAAGCAGAAGAGGGTTGCGGAGTCACCTGAGACCTCTTGATGCATCCATGGTTCCAAGTGCCACCTTAAAATTGATTATGGCAGGCTGTGTGTTACCTGCTCAGTTAGTGGGGCCATCACATCCAACAGTTAAGTGCTAAGGGGTATGTCGTACTTGCCAAGACTGGGGTAGTTATTAACGGCCCAGTCTTGTGTGGGAAACTGAAGCTCAGATAGGTAAAACCACTTCCCCAGGGCCTTTGAGTTTGCTTGTAGAACTGTTTAAGTGCCAACTGCATACCAGGTGCCCTGGAAGTTACCCAGACGGGCTAAGCGGCTGCCTCGAGCCACAGTAACTGGTGAGCCCTAGATAGTGGTGAATCAGACTGACCAGGTGGGCGTGAGTCTACTCTGCCTCCCACTAGCTGAGTGGCACTGAGCAAATCACTTCATCCCTCTGAGCCTATAAAATTAGAATACCTCCTTTAGCAGGTTGTTGTGAGGATTAAATGAGCTACAAAGATGTAGTGCCTGGCCAAATATCTGTTTCTATCCCTATGAAGAAAAGAAAGCTTGAAGTTTGACCAGGAAGTCTAGGGAAATTATCAGACTTGTTTTAGATTAGAACGCAGGATATTGTTGCAGGCTCAGAGACCTGAATTTGCTCAGCTCAGGCTGCTAGTCTCATAGCCTCTAGAATCAGTCTGCTTGGGGACACTGGCAAGGGGCTCTGGATTCTTACCTCCTCCCTTGGCTTCCTGCTGGCAGGGCTGTGGTGCCTGGAGCTGGTGTCCATTCCCTCAGGTCCATTGTCTGACCTCCCTAGGCACCTAGGTGCGGTGAATAATGTATTACTCCCCTCAGCTGGGGGCAGACTCAGGGAAATAGCTCTATGCTCAGTAAGCTTCTGAACCCTACCAGAGGAGGTGGGGGCTCCTGTCTGTGCTGTTAGCAGTCTTGGATATGGAGGGGCAGGCAGGATAGGACAGGGAGAAAGTATCATCTGGCCCCCAACAGAAGAGAGCTGGGGTTGATGATGTCCTGTCTCTCCTGTTGGGGGCTAGATGGTCCCATAGGCAACACTGGGAACCAAGCTAGCTGAGCTAGGATCAAGTGGGCCTCTGATTCCAGAGAGGTGGTGAAGGGGAGGAGTAAGGGGGAGGGTACAGGGCAGAAAGAGGGTGGAGGGGAGGCCCTTGAGGACTGGGGTAACCAGAAAGGCTTTGTCAGGGAGGTGGCTGTCTGGGCAGGAGCTAGAGGCAACTTGCTGCAGAGATGGGGGATCCTGACATCCCTCCAAGAATGAATCCTGGCTGTGCCACCATCTCACTGAGAGCATGGGCAAGACACATGATCCCACCAGGCCTCCATTTCCTCTTCTGTGAAATGAGGGTCGTGATGTCCACTTCTCAAGGCTGTTACAGATGATCTTGAGGTCCCATGTGTGAAACACACGGCACTATAGGCACTCAACAAGGGGGTGCCTCATCATGAGTGTGAACCATGGGTGGGCTAGTGGCGGGGCAGGTGGCATAGTGTGGTAAGCCGAGAGATGGGGAGAACTTGGGGCGAGGAGCCTGGCTTGGTGGGGTTAGTGAGGGATGAATGCCCATATGGGAGAGGGCCTTGAATGTTGGACAGAACTCACATTTCAGAAAGCTTAATGGAGCCCCCATTTAGAAGCCTCTGTGGCTCCTTACAGCCTGTAAGATGAAGACCAGGCCCTAGTTATGGCATTCAGGTCCTTGGTCGCCGTAGCCTCTGCCTGGCCCTCTGGCTCATTGCTCTACACTGTCTCCTAAACACACCACATGTGGCCCCATCGCAGCCCCTTTGCTTGTTCCTCCCATCACAACTGCCATCTCTGCCTCTTCTCCACTTATCTCCCCACCTGTCAAGACCTGACTCAGGTCATAAATTCCCTCAGAAACATTCCTGGATTACCCAACCCTCTGGTCATGCCCCCTCTGAATCTTTAACGTTCAACAGTAATAGTAAAAAATAATACCTACCATCCATAACATTTTGCAGTTTGTAAAATATATCCACACAATACTACAGTGATGATATCAACAACAGCTGATACTCTTGAGTACTTACTATGAGCCAGACAATGTGCTAAATGCTTTATAGACACTCTTGTTCACCCAAACTCCCCGAGGTAGCTACTGTTATCCCCTAGAAACGGGCTCAGAGAGGTACCTTATCTTTTCCAAGGTCACACAGCTTGAAGGTGGGGAGCAGGGAGCCAAGCTGCATCTGTTTGAATTGTAAATCTGTGCTTAGAAGAAGTACTGTCTCCTCACCTCCACCCAAGTACCTCGAAAGCATACTTTGTATGTAAACAGCCTGGACAAGGCTTTTTCTCAAGGCTATGGAAGGGCAGTGTTGGACTGAGCATGGCACCCAGGAAGGACCTGGGCCCTAGGCTGTGTGCAGGCTGGCTGGCTGGCTGGCTGGCGTGAGTCGGCCCCTCCCTGGGGTCCTGTGTGTCCATGTCTATGGGGAGCAGGGTGGGGTCTGAGCTCCCCTGTAGCTCCAGCTTTCTTTTTTTTTTTTTTTGTTGAGACGGAGTCTCGCTCTGTCGCCCAGGCTGGAGTGCAGTGGCCGGATCTCAGCTCACTGCAAGCTCCGCCTCCCGGGTTCACGCCATTCTCCTGCCTCAGCCTCCCGAGTAGCTGGGACTACAGGCGCCCGCCACCTCGCCCGGCTAGTTTTTTGTATTTTTTTAGTAGAGACGGGGTTTCACCGTGTTAGCCAGCATGGTCTCAATCTCCTGACCTCGTGATCCGCCCGTCTCGGCCTCCCAAAGTGCTGGGATTACAGGCTTGAGCCACCGCGCCCGGCCGTAGCTCCAGCTTTCTACAGTGTCTTTCGTGACCCTGGAAGGAGGAGGAGGAGACTACAGCACCAGAGCCAGAGGATGTGGTGTGACAGGCAGCTGTGATTTTTGGCCTGGCCACTGTCTGGGCCAGCAGGCTCTGTGGGTAGCTGCCTCGCCCAAAGGAGGGTGGTGGCCTGAGCTGCAGGCAGCATGGTCATTAGCTGGCAGAGGAGACCCTGTGATTGGGAGCTGGCTGGGCCAGGCCAGGCCAGGCTGGCAGGACTGGAGGCAGGCTGGCCGGGCCACAGTGGGGTCACTGGCAGGGCAGCCAACTTCTCCTCCCTTTGCCCCCTTTGGGGTGGTGGCAAACCCACACTGGGCACCAGAGCTTTGTAGGCCAAGGCTTACCCTTTCTCCTGCTGGGACCATGGGAAAGAGCAGTAAGGAGTTCAACCAGGCCCAAAGATGCTGCCTCCTATAAGCTTCCAGGACTCCTCCCATGCAGGTGGGATCCAAGCCTCCTCTGCTGCTGATTCATGGCCATCTGCACACTGACTGTGGTCTGTGGATTGGGGTTCTGCTTGGTCTGCTTCCCTTGCTGGCTTGTCAAAACTAGATTCTATGTGCCCCCCCCATCCTCCCCTCCCTCTGAGTGCCTAGAAGTGTGCCTGGCACAGAACCACACCCTCCGGACCAGGGGAAGCAGTGCAAGCTGCCCTGTGGACAGCTTGCTCAACTTTTGCACCTCTGTTTTTTCCCTGTAAATTGGGGCTGATAATAACTGTTATTAAATGAGATGAAGGAAGTGGGGTGCCTGTCCAGGCCTGGCACACAGGTGGGTACTCCATCAGCATGAGTCCTCTTGCCCATCCCCTCAATGGCTTTGGCAATTCAGTAAGAAATTGATGGAAGAGTCCAGTGAGAGATGGCAGGAGGGAGGGCATGCCAGGTAGCAGGGAGGCCTTCTCTTAGGGGGATTTAGCTGGGGTTTGCAGAGACACAGTTCCTACCACCTTCCATGTAAACACTGGTGTGTAAGCAGGTGCTGTTGGCCTGGAAGGGTCCCGAGCTAGGTTCAGGGCAGGGAGAAGGACTGGGATATCTGGGGACTTGGGTTTTCTTCTCAGGCCTACGCAGAAGAAATGACCCAGGTGGGAGAAGCCGTCTGGTGTCCAGCTAGCACATACTGGGCGGAGAGTGTGAGTTCTTCCTTAAAGGGAAGCAACATTTATTTGGTGCTGCTCACGCATGCATCCAACCAAAATGTAACACGGTTGGAGATTCTGATCTGTGGGGGAAACAACATTAGACAAAGAAATACACAGATGCAAAACTTCCAAATTGTGAGAAGCGGGCTCCTGAGGCAGGGGCCCGTCCCATCTGTATCTGTGGCTGGTGGCACAGGGTAGGGCTAAATGACTTGGGCAAGTGATTTAACCTCTTTGGGTTTTAGTTTCCCCATATGTAAAGTGGGGATAATTATAGCATCTTCATCATAGTAGTGAGGGTGAAATGAATTATACATGTAAAGCACTCAGAAAAATACCCAGCGCATTATGAGCACTCAGTGCAGGTTAGCTGTTATGATCTGTATCTCCAGCACCTCACAGAGGATCTTAGAGAAAACAGGTGCTCAGGAAAGGCGTTTGGAGTGAATCCCAGGCAAAGGGCAGCTGCTCTGTGGAATGAATGAATGAACAGCCTGCTAGGGATGGGAGGACACAGAAGCAGTGACAACACAGAATGTGACAGGGAAGTCCAGGGGCCTGGGGTTGCCCAGCGCTGGGTGGGGAGGGGAGTCAGGGAAGGCTTCCTGGAGGTGGTGCCCGTGTTGCAGACTTTGGACCTCTGTGAGGTCAGCACTGAACGAGCTGAGAGAGAAGTAGCTCCTCCCCAAAGGTAGCTGGCAAGGGGGAGTGCTTGGGCAGACCCCAGGACCAGTGGACTCCACAGGCCTCTCACTTCCCACCACCCCACACTGTCTCTCCATCTGTGACATTCTGCTTTCAGGGCATGAGGAAGGCGAACAGGCAGGTGGGGAGGAAGTGTGGGCTGCTGGTCTGACAGGCCCAGCTCTTCCCAGGCTTGTGACCAAATCTCCTACAGAAAAGGATAAACAGGCCTGCTTTGAGTTCTTTTATCTTCCTGCTCCCAAGGCACGCCAGCAAGCAGAGGGGGTCTTCCAGCATTAATCCTGCAGCTGTTTAGCTTTTGAACGAGTGGACTCTTTAAAAAAATGCCACGAAGAATGTGTCTCACTCTCTTACCCAGAAGCCTCAAAGAGAAACTTCTCTCCCACTGACAAGGGAGCCAGGACCCCCCAAGTGTCTTAAAGAAGCTCACCCCAGGGGCAGTCAGATATCAGGGGACCCCTCATGCTGCCTCGATTTGTTGCTGGCTGGGGGGCCTTGAGGACACCCTTATATTTTGCGTGGCTTCTGCCCGTTTTGTAAAATGGGGTCAGGGTAATAAATCCCTTCTTTCCTTAGAGAGGTGTGGGGTAGGGGAGTTTCAGAGGTGGGAAGGGCAGCAGTGGGCATCCAAGCCCATGCCTTTCAAACTTTGTTTCACATTAGAATCATCTGGGAAACTTTTGAAAGTCCTGCAGGCCCTACAATCTCTGGGGCAAGACCCAGGCGTCAGTAGTTGTTGAAGCTCCCCTGGTGATTTCAGTTTGAGAGCCACCTGGCTGCCCTCTGCAGCCTGCCTCCCACAGTGTCCCAAGACAATACTTGCACATCCCCAGGACAAGGAGCTCATCCTTCTGAGGCTACTTCCTCCCCGCAGGACCTCCCTACCTGGAGAGATGAGGGGAGTGGAAAGACTTGGTAATCCAGTTAACCTGGGTTCCAGCTGCTCCCTGCATGTCTTCTCAGAGCCTTGGTTTCCTCATCTGAAAAATGACAATAACAATCTCTCTGAAAGTGCCACAGAGGCCAGACGAGGCCACACATGGCAAACGTAACCTGACACCGGGCTGGACTGAGACCCTGAACTCCTTGCCCCAGCCACCTGAGGCCAGGTCTCTGAGATTGGTACTGGTTGGGGTGGGATCAACACCCAGCCCTGGGGCCCTTCCCACTGTTCCCTTTGTCTCTAAGAGATAAGACAAGGCAGTGAGCATTTTGTTTTGCTCAGTTTTGCTTTAATGGTCAAAGTGTCAGACTCTCCTTAACAATGAAGCCTTGTCTGAATCTGCTTGTTTTTCCAACCCGGACACCCAACTGCACCACCCGCTTGGGGCCCCTGTCCCACCTGGGAGAACTGCAGAATGTCAGAGGATTTTTTTTTTTTTTAACCTAGGAGGGGGTGTCCAGGGAACATTAGAGGCCTCTGGGCAAATTCTCGCCAATAACTGACCGCACTTAAGTCATCCAACTCTGCTGTGATTGTGAGCCAGTTCACTAAAATTATTTCAAGGCAGTTACTAGGTGTTGTGCCAAACCCCTATCAGTGCCAGTGAGGATGGCACCAGGCTCAAGAGACCAAAGAGGAGACCCAGAGTCAGCGAATGAAACATGGAGTTTTACTAGGGGCTCACACACAGGGGAGAGAGTCCAGTGGCTGCTGACTGGACCGAAGAACCACAACCACTTGCAGGAAGTGTGCAGTTTTTTTTGTTTTTGTTTTTGTTTTTGTTTTTGTTGAGATGGAGTTTCGCTCTTATTGTCCAGGCTGGAGTGCAATGGCACGATCTTCACTCACTGCACCCCGTGCCTCCCAGGTTCAAGCGATTCTCCTGCCTCAGCCTCTCGAGTAGCTGCGATTGCAGACATGTGCCACCACACTCAGCTGATTTTGTATTTTTAGTAGAGATGGAGTTCCACTATGTTGGTCAGGCTGGTCTCAAACTCCTGACTTCAGGTGATCTGCCCACCTCCGCCTCTCAAAGTGCTGGGATTGCAGCCGTGAGTCACAGCCCCACTGGCCTAAAAGCATGCAATTTCTATAGCATTTTCACTTAGCACCTCCCCCAACAACTTCCACCTAGCAACCTGCATTTACCCCAAAACAACAGGCCTCAATCCTGTTTGGCCCGCAGGTTCCATAGGATGGGCCGGGAGCTCAGATGTTCCTCATAGATAAGGAATGGATCTCCGGGTTGGCTACTCCCAGATCCCTTAGCTTAGAACCAGACTGCATTCAGGTGCATCTGCCATACAAGGTCATTCTCAGGACTTGCTCAAGTCTAGTTATCTCTGTCCAATATGTCTACCATACAGAAGACAGAAAACTTACGTTGATCCTGGCTTTGTCACTTACTGGCAGGATGACCCTGGAAGAATCATATTTATCTCTTTGAGCACGAGTTGTCTCTCCTGTAAAATGCATTAGTAGGAAGGAATTCCTGGGATTGCCTGAGAAGCAAATAAAATTCTTGGTATGTGGAGCGCAGTGCCTACCGTACACTAAGCACTCAAAAGCTGTTGGTGCATGCACTAACTGGGGAGCTGACCCCTGCCTCCTGCCCCTTCCTTCACTGGCTGGTCCATGCTCCCTATCTCCCAACCTGCTCCCCTTGCCCCACCAGGCCCAGGCTGAGACAGAGGACAGAGGAGGCCTGCACGTGTAATCATGGGCATCCCTTCAAACTGCTCTTCTTTAAGAGCAGAGGAGGCTCTGAGGGCTGGACAGAGGAAGACTATAAAAGGGGCCATTGGTGGCAGTGCTTGGTCTCCTTGCCTTGGCACAGCCAGAGAGGGTGCATCAACCCGGAGTGACTGGCTCAGGCATTAGGCGTGTAACAAATCAACACAGGATAGTGCAGCACTGAGGGACTAGTAGTGGCTGGGAGCAGTTACCACTCAGGGCTGAAGGAGCAAGGGAAGTGGGCAGCTATAGGGACAGGGGCTGTGGGCCATCAGTACAGGGACCCAGTCAACCCACGAGACCTCACAGGGGATAAACCTCAACTGTCTTTTCTCTTTCCTTCAGTCCCCCATCTGTGCTTCCTGTTGGGTGAACCTCTCTGGAAGCCAGCAGCACGGAGCCCACTACAGTCCACAGAGGTCAGTTCCCAGGGCCCCAGACAAGGTGGAGAGTGGCTCTGGAGAGGCAAACTAAAGACACTTCATCAATCTGTCCCTCGAAAGCCCGGGAGTCCACTGAATACACTGTCCTTAGGACACAGTTTAAAGATCATCTGTTTTTACCATGCCCCTTAATGAAGGAGCTCTCAGCTCTCACCCCAAAGATGAATCAGCAGCCCAGCTGCCACAGACACTTTGGCGAGAGGAGTTTTGGAGTTACCCATCTCTCCATCTCTGCCTCCTCCCCCAAAGCAAGTTACAGGTGGCTTCTGGGGTGACCCTGCCAGGGACAGGGGATCCTCTGGAGTGGAGCAGAAGTCACAGGTAGGCTAGTGTCAGGCAAGCTCAGGTGTACAGAGCAGCAGCCCCAGCCCTGCTGCAACTCGCCCAGCCTGGAGCTGGCCCCAATGTGGCCACTTTATACACCTTCCTTAGAGCTGGGTAGTTATTGCCACAGTTCTGGGGATAGTCCTGAACCCAGAACATGTTGCCCATGTCCCGGGTGCCATGAACCACACCACTCTGAGTTCAGAGGGTCTCCCAGGAGCCTGTGAATGTCAGGTAAGTGGAGTGTGGGGCTGAACAGGCCTGGGACAGGCCATGCAGCAAGTGCCACCAAATGCTGCCAGGCCCTGTGATGGGGAGTCTGGGTGTAGAGTTGGGTGGGGGTTGGGGTTCCTGCCAAGTAGGGAGCAGGAGGCATAATGGTGCCAGAGACTAATCCTTGCCCAAGAGGAGGCATGGTCAGGGAAAGGACAGAAGATATGGCACTTTGCACGGAAACCACGTGGGAGGCCCCCACGGGGTGTTGTCTGCAGAGGCACAGCTGGCAGTCCTAGGACACAGAGCCCTTTACAGCTGGCCACCAGTGAGCACTCCCTCTCCTTCCTGAAAGGAACACCTCTGGCATCTCCTAGCTCACACCTGGGCATCTGAGGTGGCACAGTGAGATGCCCATGGCAGGTGTGGTAACACCTGGATCCTCAGAGACTTCCTGAGAAGGGAGGTATGTGGAGTCAGAGTTCTGGCTTTAAATCCTGGCTCTGCCTCTCTTGAGTGGAACTTAGAAGACATGGGCAAGTAACTTAGCCTCTCTGAGCCTCAGTTGCTCACTTACAAAATTAGAGCAGCAACACTTACCTTCCAGGCTGGTTTGAAAGTAAAATGATGGCCGGGCGCGGTGGCTCAAGCCTGTAATTCCAGCACTTTGGGAGGCCGAGACGGGCGGATCACGAGGTCAGGAGATCGAGACCATCCTGGCTAACATGGTGAAACCCCGTCTCTACTAAAAAATACAAAAAAAAACTAGCCGGGCGAGGTGGCGGGCGCCTGTAGTCCCAGCTACTCGGGAGGCTGAGGCAGGAGAATGGTGTGAACCCGGGAGGCGGAGCTTGCAGTGAGCCGAGATCCAGCCACTGCACTCCAGCCTGGGCGACAAAGCGAGACTCCGTCTCAAAAAAAAAAAAAAGAAAGTAAAATGACATAATGAATGAGACAGCATCCTGTATTTCAGAGGAGATGTTACAGTTGCCCTCATCGTGCCCCTCTTCTCTGTGTTCATGCTTAATGCCTCTGCAGGAAGTTCTTTCTTGAGACTAATTGAAGTCCATTTTGCTGCTATTGGAGCCTTCTTCCTCTTGCTGGGGACTCTGCAGAGGCAGACTGAGCCCCTCCTCCATCCAGATGTGCCCTGTCAGTGCCTGCAGTGAGCGAAGCAGGGAATTGGGTGACCAGGTGTTGATTTTCACCTTGGGGCTTGTGGGCCCAGCCGTCAATGGCCAGAGCCTCTTGACCAGGGCAGGGTAGGGGGTGCATCATCCTAACTCTTCACACTGTTCTTCCTCTCTGTGCTTAATCCATGCTCCAAAAGGGGTGACTTTGGGCCAGTGCAGAGAGCCCTGGGCTGGGCCAGAGCCTGGGTCCTGGCACCTCTGTCTCACTGTGTGGCCCGAGGCTAGTTAGCAACCATTTCGGGCCACCGTGGGCCTGCAAGAATGTCTGTGCTCTGGGGCCCAGGTCCCTCCAGTGAAGACATATGTAGTTCTGACTGAAGTCCCTTCTCCTGCCTCTCCCCTGCTGGGACCCTAGCCAACCTGGGAAGACAGCAAATAGGGTCCTGCTGGTGGCTGGCAGTGGTAACAGCTGAGTCCACCTCTCAGACCAGGACTGCCAAGGGCAGGCTGAGAATTCAAGGTTAGATGGGTGATTCCTGGTAGGTAGGGTTGTGCCTCCCTCCAAAACAGGGATTTTGAGAGCCTGGTGCTCCCCTTCCTGCCACTCAGCTGAACTCACCCAGCTCAAGGGCAGTCATGTTTGAGTCTTTCCTTGGAGTGGATCCTCTCCCACATGAGACCCACTTTCATCCCTCATTTTGCAGGTGAGAAACCTCAGGCTCAGAGGGGTGAGGTGACTGGCCTGAGGTCCCACAGCCTGTCGGTGGGGAGTGGTGAGGGTCCCTGGGGCAGCTCCCATGGCACCTGGGCCAGGCCGTGCCCTCTAGGTCCTTGGCAGGAGTGGAGCACAGGAGAGTCAGGAGGCTACTAGCCAGGTGGTCTCCTGGTCTAGGAGGGGGCCCCATGGGTTCCAGGGGAACCCTGCTCTGTGGGCCTTGAGGGGTCATCTGGGGCTCCTGGGATTGCCGGATCTCTTTCCCTGGGAGGAAGTTAGCCAAGGAATGCCAGAGGTTGAGAGTGAGGAGCCCAGGAGTTCTAGGCTGTGGCCAGTTCTGAGTGCCCCTGTGAACTTCAGTGTTTAGTTTCACGGAGAGTCAAGACTGACTACTTGTTGCCTTTGGACACATAACAGTTTAACTTTATGAAGCACTCTAACATCTATTGCATCCTCACAGCAGTCTGTGAGAAGGAAGCGTGGGTCTTGTTTGGGAGGGTGGGAGAGTGTGGGCTCTGGAATCAGACACACCAGAGCTTACACCCTGACTCCCATCAACTCTCTGACCTCAGGCAAGTTGGTCTCAGTTTGTGAAAGGGACAATTTACCCCACAACAAATTGTTAGCAACACCTGCCTTGCTGACTGTGTGCATTAAGAGAACATCTGTAACTGCTGGGTTAGTGTCTAGTGCCATGTAATATTTTTCATGATTTTTATCATACCCACTTTATAGATGGGAAGATGGAGGCTCAGAGAAGGAAGGTGACTTGTCTGAGGTCATGTAATGATTTAAATCAGTCCTCCAGACTTCTTAGCTGTGAATTTTTTTTTCTACAAAACCTCCCTCTCTATCCTCAAGTGACCCAATACCTCATTTATCCAGAACCTTCCATATGTGATGCTGTCTGGATGTGGCGTTGTGTCCCCAGTGCCCAACAGCACTTGCCTGGTACACAGTATGTCCTGTGCTTACATGTGTTGATGAATTCATATAAACTGTAAGAAACATTTTTCCAGAAGCAGCAGCTAAGACCTGTGTCTTGCCTTAAAGACTTCCTTCCTTCCTCCCTCCCTCCCTCCCTCCCTTCCTCCCTTCCTCCCTTCCTCCCTTCCTCCCTTCCTTCCTTCCTTCCTTTTTGAGACAGAGTTTTGCTCTTGTTGCCCAGGCTGCAACCTCTGCCTCCCAGGTTCAAGTGATTCTCCTGCCTCAGCCTCCCACATAGCTGGGATTACAGATGCCCACCACCATGCCCGGCTAATTTTGTATTTTTAGTAGAGACAGGGTTTCACCATGTTGGTCAGGCTGGTCTCGAACTCCTGACCTCAGGTGATCCACCCGCCTTGGCCTCCCAAAGTGCTGGGATTACAGGCGTGAGGCAGCACAACCAGCCCTAAAGACTTCTTTGTGCTCTCTATCCCATTAAGAACAACTCTTAACAGTTTTGGTTGGAAACCTTTGCGAAAGAGATTGATCACTTTCTTCCCCTGAACAATGGCAACATGGATGGCTCGAGGGACAGGCCTTAGGAACCCCAACTGCCTTGCTGAGAATGCCGACAGGCTTGACCCCTGTGCCAGATGACTGTGGGCTGCTGCACGTGTTCAACTCTGGTTTCTGGCTCTTCCCACCCTGTCGGTTCCTTTATTCTGCTGCCCACAGACTTGCCTCCAGAGTGCTGTGGCTCTTTCCTCTCCCCTCATGCGTGTGTGTGTGTGTGTGTGTGTGTGTGTGTGTGTGTGTGTGTGTGTCCTTCCCAATTTGCTGCTTCTACCAGTTGGGGACTAAGAAGTGGAACAGTTGACCTTATTAGAATTGGTTCATGTATTCATTCATACCTATTCAACCAGCCAGCCATTGGTAAGCCTGGGTCACACTGGGGATTCTGTCTGTCCATTCTTCCATGCATCCATGTATCCATCCATCCATCTGTCCTGATTGAGGACCTCTGCAGTGGCTTGTGATCAATCAAGACATTACCACACCCTCCTGGCCATGTATGCAGTGAAATAATGATGCACATAGCAAATGCTGGCACCGGACTTGACGGTTTATAATCTGCCTCTGCTGGCATTACCACGCTGAATCTTCACAACAGCCCTGAGAATAGCATTATCCCCATTTTGCAGATGATGAATGCAAAGCTTAGCAGGATGGGGTCCCCCGCCCAATGGCCAGCAGTGAGCACAAAATGACAGCTGGAACTCACTCAGGTCTCTGGCCCACCCTGTTACTTTCTCTCTCCTTCGTGCTGCATTTGGAAGCTGTCTGATGCCATGTTCATTATCTGTCTCTGTCATGAGCTATTAGTAGTGGTGGCTGAGGTTGAACCTTCTGCCTTTGTCAAATGGTCAGTGCAGGGAAGTGAAGGAAGACACTTCAACCTGCAGACCTTGTCCCACCTGGACCCAGGCACACTATCTAGTCCACACTTCCCAAACTGTCCCCTGAGGAACCCTAGTCCCATGGCATGGGAATGGATTTGAGGATGCATGAGCATACAGATTTGGGAAACACTAGGTCACATAAATCTAAACAGGCCTTCTCAGGGTCTTTAATGTATTAATATGAATTGGGGACCCCAATGGGTG